AGAGAGTGAAATAAATGTTTACCTACTCTGTTTATCTGAACCTAAATATACCTTTCTAAATGTTACTTTCTCTGTCACCCCTAAGTATACTTCAGGTATGCCTAAAAGGGACCACCTCCCTCATTAAAACGCACTCTACTTCCACCATTTCTTAAGGACTGACTATATGCCAGGCACTGAAGACACAAATTTGAAATCTCACAACTCTATAAGGTGGGCAGCGTACCCTGTTCCTGGATGAAGAGACTGAGGTTCAGAGTGGTCAGAGAGTAGAAGAGCCCAGTGGGCCTCACTCTGCTCTGTCCTTAATCCCGGCTGGTCTTAACTACCAGGCCCTGCCCTCCGGGGTCGCCTCTCCCCTCAGGAGGGAGTCTCTTACTAAAACAGCACTAACAACCCCTCACCAGCCCCAAGGCGGTGCTGCTGCAGCCTTAGTCCTCAGCTGCCTACAAACAACGAATCCTCCCCTGTTGCTCCCTCAGTCTTCAGAGTGATGGAGCCAGGCAAGTGTCCTCTCAGAGACAGGAGCAGAGCAGAAACAATAGGAAGGTTTCCAGAGGAAACACATCTGGTGCTGACCTCCACCCAGGTCAGCATAGCCTTAAGGAGCTCCCCTCCCTGAAGCCCCAGACAGTGTGCAGTGACCCTCTCACTGGGAGTGTGTGCCAGGCCTGTCCTCCAGAGAGATGAGACTTGCCCCTTCTCTCTTTTTTCCCTTTGTTTTTATTATGTTTTAAATTTTTTAACTTAAAAAATGAGACTTTATTTTTTAGAGCAGTTTTAGGTTTATAGAACATTTAAGCAGAAAACGTAGGGAGTTCCCACAGGTCTCCTCAAGTCTCTCCCTACGGTTTCCTCCTTATTAACACCTTGCATGAGTGGGGCACGTTTGTCACAATAATGAGCCAATACTGATACAATATTAACTGAAGTCCATAGTTTACATTATGGTTCGCTCTTGGGTTTTGACAAGTATATGATGACATGCATCCACCACTCCAGGATCATACAACATAATTTTATTGCAGTAAAAGTCCTGCGCTCTGCCTATTCTCATCTCTCTGTCTCTTCCTACCCCCAATCTTTTTACTGTCCCCAAATCCTACCTTTTCTAGAATGTCATATATTTGGAATCATACTGTATATACCTTTTCAGCATGGTTTCTGTCACTTAGTAATATGCATTTAAGGTTCCTGCTTGTTTGACAGCTCTTCTCTTCTTAGCCTTATTCCACTGTCAGGATGTACCACAGTTTATTTATCCATTCACCTCCTGAACGATGTCTTGGTTGTTTCCAAGTTTTAACAATTACAAATAAAACTGCTATAAATATTTGTGTGCAGGTTTTTATGTAGATACTTTATAAAAAAATTCTTTTTTAATTCCCAGCCCCCCACTTCCACCCCTGACCTACGGATGTTTCCATCTCCCCCTAAGAACTAGATCTCCGAAGGCGGAGAATCACCTCCCACGCACTCCCAGTGCACATTTGGGGCCTAGCACACCCAGGGGGACTAGGCACCTGGGGGACCTGGCACG